CATAGCCCATTGTCCATAAACATCAGGAAGCTGGGATCTTGCCTTCTTCATAGTGGTCATCCAATTCTAGTCATTGTTGTTATGTGTCATAGAGTCATCTGCAACTCATAGCAATCCTAAGTACATTCGCTTTGTACCCTGCCTTACCTGAGCCAATATCATCTTCTTTTGCAGATTTACTTCCATTTTTCCAGTTACTGAGTCAATCCATCTCATCCTGGGTCTTCCTCTCCTGTGCTGTCCCTCTTCCCTTCCAAGTATGATGTCCCTCCGCAAGGAATAGTCTCTCCTTGCTATATTGTAGACAGGATACTAAGATTACCAATAATGCCAGGGATGAATGAATGCCTTAGGACAATCAACTTTAACAATTAATAAACAATATCAAGAGGACAGCATTTGCCCAAGGAAAGGCTTAGAAGCAGGAAGGGGTAAGAAAGATAGGAAACATTAAGTGGGAATGGCAAAAGTGTTGTTCTAGTCTAGGGATTAAAATCAATGTCAGGAAACATACTGAGACACTGCTATGAAGATTGATGTACAAATCTCTGAGTCTCAGTTCCGATTTCCTTGAGGTATATTCCTAATAGTGGAATAGCTGAGTAATATAGAATTTCTATGTTCAGCTTTCTGAGGAACTGCCAAACTGCCTTCAAGAGTGGTTGTACCATTGTACAATGCCATGAACAGTCTGTGAGAGTGCCTATCTCTCCACATCCTCTCCAACATTTATTGTTTGCTATCCTGTTAAACTTTGTCACTGCTACTAGAATAAGATAGTATGTCATTGTGGTCGGGTTATTGTTTTTTAAATACATTTCTTACTTTATACTGCTTTACTTACAAAGTTCATATTAATTATTTTTTACACCAGATCTTTCCCATTTCCTTTACACAACCCTCCCCCCACCCATCAAATTGTGCAACCCAGTGATTAACGACCGCCCCCCAGTCCACCCCACTACACTCCCACCCATCCTCACCCCTTTGTGCCCTCCTCTTCCTGCCTTGGATCTTTGTATTCTTTCTACAATAATGGGGTTTTTTTTCTATACAGTATCTGTTCTTATGGGACCAAGTTAGTTCACTCAGCATAATGCTCTCTAGTCTCTCCTAAATTAGGTAGTAATTTACAAAATCATTGTTCTCGTGTGCTGTGTAGCATTCCATCATGTGAATGTACCATAATTTCTCAAGTGGTGCTTGGATAGTTGAGCTGTTTCCATGTTCTTGCGATGGTGAATAATGCTTCTATGGACATTGGTGTACAAATCTCTGTTTTTACCTCAGTTCTCATTCTCTCAGAGTATATTCTAAGCAGTGAAATAGCTGGGTCATATGGAATTTCTATGTTCAGCTTTTTGAGGAAATACCAAACTGCTTTCCTGAGTGATTTTATAATCTCACCAACACTGTATAAGACTTCCTATCTCTCCACATCCTCTTCAACATTTATTACTTGCTGACCTGTTAAACTTTGCTGCTGTTACTGGAGTGAGATTGTACCTCATTTTGGTTTTGATTTGCATGTCTCTTATTACCATTGATTTGGAGCATTTCTTCATGTGTCTGCTGACCATGCTAATGTCTTCCTCTGTGAAAAGTCTTGACATGTCTTTCACCCATTTTTTAAGTATCAGTCTTTTTCTTCTAGAGGCCCACTAGTATCCTATAAACTTTGTTATGAGACCCTTATCTAAAATGGTATTGCCAAATGATTTTCCCCCGGTCAGTAGGTTTCCTTTCTCCCTGTTGGAAAACATTTTTGATGCACTCATTGCAAGAACATGGAAACAGCCCAAATGTCCAACCACAAATGAATGGATTAAGACATTGTGGTACCTTCACACAATGGAATATGGAATACTATGCATCACTCAGGAACACCGATTTTGAAAAATACGAATAACTTGGGAGGATTAAAGAGCATTATGCTGAGTGAACTAACTCAAACTTAGAAGGACAAATACTATATAAGACCATTATTGTAAAAACAGAAGGATAACTAGTAAAACATGTCCGGGTATCTAAGGCAGGAAGGACTGGAAGCAGAGGGGTGAGACTGGGCAGAGGGGAAATCACAAGGTTGTATAATTTTGTGGGTGGAAGGAGGGGGTAAAGGAAATGGGAAAGATGCAGCAGGGATCTGAAAAGAAGTGGATATAGTCCAACAGTGGTTAAATTTATAAAACATAATGAATGGGAATGAATGTATGAAACACAATGTGAATGAAAAACAGTGTGAAACACAATGCATACAAATTTTGTAAGTAACCAATATAATATCACTTTAAAAAAAAGAAAGCCTCATTCTGTGGGCAGTTGCATAAATCTGAAAAGGAAAGAAGATACATGATGTAGATTAACTGTTAAATGGAAAATCTATTTGCTATGGGAATATTCATTCAAATCACAATCTAAGTAAATTTTTAAAAAGAAAGAAAAATTCATTCAATGTTACTGAGGTGGTTGTGTCTATAGATGCTTTGATGTGTATCTTTTCACCAAAATAAAAAGAGAATAATTTCAATTTTAAAAGTAGTCATATTTTTTATAACCAAATAAGGTTATTTATAAAAAAAAAAGTAACCAAGCCGATTTCACTTACGGTGACCCCAGGTGCTACTGAGTAGCTCCATAGGATTTTTCTTGGCTCTGCAGAAGCAGCTTGCCATGGCTTTCCTATGTGGTGGTCCTGGGTGAGTGGGAACCATCAACCATTTAATAAAAAGCCAAGTGCAAAGTGTTTATGACACCCGAGATCCTCACCTAAAACTTACAGATCATTAATTATGCAAGTAAATTGTGAATTATCTTTTGTATGAAATAAAGGGAGAGAAATTACAGGTTTTGGACCCAAACTTCATAAGCATTTAGGTTCATGATTCTCATTGACATATTGCAATGTTGTTGTTGTTGTTGTTGTTGTTGTTGTTATGCGCCGTCGAGTCGCCTGCGACTCATAGCGACCCTATGTACAACAGTCCTAAACTCCGCTCTGTCCTGTGCCAATCGCACCGTCCCTGAAAC